GATTTTGGGTTTGAAAAAAGATTGCAGGAGATCCAGCTCAGTTACATGCTGCCGAAGAAGATTTCGTTACACTTACCTCAAGACACACCGTGCGTGGTTATTGGGAACAATCGCCAATTTCAATGGTATCTAGATCAGTGTTTGGAAGCATCTATTCGATTATGTGTGACAATAAAAGACAAAAAAGAGGCGGACCTGAAAGATGGCAAGAAAAGGGCGAAAGTTGATGAAGATACAGGAACTGGCGATGTAGACGAAGATGACGAAGAAGGAGATATATTTGATTGCTGCGATGACTCTGATGGGGCTTCAGAGGGCGATGATGATTATTCTGTATATGGAAAGTACAAAATCGTTGAAGAAGATGAAAAACAAAGTCATCTGACCCTAAACAAAGCTTCACCGAAGAATGCAAATATACCAGACGAGTATCAGGTACTCGAAATGTCGGCGTTGAATGTAGCTGTTGGACAAAGATATGAAAACAAGGAGGCGTTGGAGACAAGGCTGAAGATGCTTTCAGTTATCAATCATTTTGATTTTGATGTCGACAAATCAACCGAGTCGTTGTATGTTGTCAAATGTTGGGTGAAGAATTGCTCTTGGAGACTGAGAGCATCACCGATTGGTGATAGCTTACACTTTTACGTTCGGATATATGTTGGAGAGCATACTTGTTCTGTAACTGAGCGTTCGAGACGTACTCGACAAGCCACTCATCAGATTCTCGGTGTACTATACAAAGATTTTGTAGGTGGTGTTGGTCCAACGGTATTACCAAATCATGTTGCTGAAGCATTGCAGAAACGGTTTCGACTTAAGGTATCTTATTTTGTGGACTTATATATTTTCTCTACCAGTTGTTTAGTCCGTGGGGACTTATCTATACCATGCAAAATATTGTAGGTTGAATATTGGAAGGCTCATCGTGCTTTGAGACATGCCCGTGATTTAGTAACGGGAACACCAGAAAGTGGTTACGAGGACCTGCCCACATATCTCTACCAAATATGTCGAGCTAGTCCCGGTAGTTATACATGGCTCCAAGTTGACGAGAATAACAGGTTTAAGTTCATGTTTATAGCATTTGGTGCAAGTATTGCTGGGTTTCAGTACATGAGGAAAGTCATTGTAGTTGATGGCACACATTTACAAGGCAAATACAAAGGTACTATGTTGCTAGCAACTGCACAAGATGGAAACTTTGGTATATTTCCAATTGCTTTCGGTGTGGTGGATTCTGAAAATGATGAATCTCGGGTGTGGTTTTCTAAACAATTAAGCCATGTCATACCAGATGATAGAGGACTTTCCATCATCTCAGACAGGCACAGAGCCATTGGAAACGCCATAGGGAAGGTGTATCCTCTAGCAAGTCGTGGCATTTGCACTTACCATTTGTATAAGAATATACTACAAAGTTTTAGAGGGGGTGAATCGTTCCGTCTTGTTAAAAGAGCGGCCAATGCTTATCGAGAATACAAATTTAATGTAATTTTTGAAGAGATTCGGCAGGTCAATCCAGCTCTCCACGGTTATTTGCAAAAGGCTGATGTAAGATATTGGACGCGGGTATATTTCCACGGCGATAGGTACAACTTCACAACAACAAATATAGCAGAGTCAATCAACAAAGTTCTTTCAGAGGCTAGAAGTTTGCCAATTGTGCAACTTATAGACACTATAAGGTCAATGCTGACAAGATGGTTTGCAGAGCGGCGTACTGATGCAACACTAATGAAAACCGTCTTAACCCGCGACATTGAGAAGTTGCTTGAGGTAAAGTACTTTTGATTTAAAGATGTTTTTTTTATTGCTCAATATGTCATTGTTATCAATCACTGCTTCTTTAGGGTCGTATGGAAAGATGTAAAGATCTATCAGTGCAGCAGATTGATTCCCATCAATTTGAAATCGGTCGTGGAGCATCTGTTAATGTTGTCAATTTGACCATGAAGACATGTACATATCGCATGTTTGACTTGGACAAAATACCTTGTGTACACGCCCTTGCGGCTGCGGATGCAAAAAAGGTTTCGCCAATTCGGTTATGTCATCAATACTATCACATGACCTACCTTACTAATGCGTATGCGGCATCTATTTGTCCAAGGGATAGACAATCACCCGTACCCGCAGAGGTTGAATCGAAGATATGCGTACCGCCAATGGTACGCCAACCTCAAGGAAGACCGAAGAAGTGCAGGTTTAAGTCTGCTATGGAAATTGCTTTGACGAAGAAAGTTCCAAGAAAACTTCCAACATGTTCAAAATGTGGTCAAACAGGCCATAACGTTAGGACGTGCACTTTCTAGGGCGAGCATTGATGCACTTGTAATTTCCCAAAATGTAAACGCTAGTTGTTCTTTCAGTACTTAGACTTGTAGTGTAGACATATCACCCGTTCGGTTCAGAGTTTTTTGAACCACATACGTTAGGTGGACTTGTTCAATATGCAGACTTTTAGATCCAAAATGATATGACCACAGACTTTTAGTGTAGACATATACATACATATCAAGGTGGTACACTTGTTGAGATCGCAGACTTATTGGCTCAAATTGACTTGCACGCAGACTTTCAGTGTAGACATACCCCTAGGTGGGGTCGACTTATCCACAGTGATGGACCTCATTATACGTAGACTTGTTCGGATGGCAGACTTCTTGAACCGAAATGACTTGAACTCGGACTGTATGCGTAGACATATTTTTGCCATAATTATAAATCTACGATTACTTACGACAATAAATTACAAGTCTACTACAAAACGTCACAAACACAAAGTAACGTACACGGGATCCTAGTACAGAAACTAATGCCGAAAACCCGAAGAGAAGGGAAAATGGGTCCTATTAAAGAAACAACCGGGCTTAAGCCTACAAGATCATTGCATAACTACCGACAAAGGTTCTTCAGCATTGCAGCAAGGACATATAACATAGTAAGACATTGCAGCAAACAATATGTGAAGGTCGGTTTACTTAAACAGAAAAGTCATTACAGCAAAGACAACGAATAACGCTAGAAGCACGATATCTGAACACTTGTTTGTGTATGCCTCCTTTAACCAAGCTATGTCTCGCTGAATCTCTTCTACCTGTAGCTTCATTTCCAATATGTCATCCCCATTGCCCTCAATTACCACTCGCATATGAGCCAAACGACTCTCCATTTGTGAATCGCTGGGGAGGTCAATTCTGTTAAAGCTCTGCATCATCTCCTTTTGGTATGCTAGTCTGTTTTGTAGAATCTCTAGTTGCTCTGTAACCCCTTCATCCCACCACTTCCAAATGTGTTCATCATTCTCCTAGGAAAAATTTAAATTTGTTCTCACAAATACCGACAGCAATATCTGATAAATAGTGTAAGTGAATAAAATTTCCAAACAAACCTCCCCCAATATCTCTAGGCAACTGTAAAACTTTCTGCCGAACGTCGCCGTTGCTGTAGATTTCTCAAGGACGGTACAACGACCACAAAAACAACGTTCAGGTATTCCATAATTAGCATCCGCTCGAGCATAAGGACAAGCCCAAATCCCTTCGGACGAAGACGAACCACTGCTGTAGCTGAACGGCATTGTGAAGGCGAAATCAGGAATTAGGGTTGCTTGAGTTGAGGTTTTCTTTACTGAGGGAAATCTGGTTCGAAAACTGAGTAACCCTAAATCGAGAAGTCTCCCCAAATATAAATCACGGGTGAGAGAGACGAGTAAAGATCACATGTTTTCCCAACGCTACCCCAATTGCATTTTGACGCGTGGATATCTTAATAAGTCTATAAAGCAGTATTAAGTACACTTTCCCTTATTGTTTATAAGTCTGCTATGTTTGCATGTCTAATATGTTTTATAAGTCTACATGTCTATTACGTTTTATGTCTACATGTCTAATATGTTTATAAGTCTACATGTCCGATATGTTTTATGTCTACTAATATGCTAATAAGTCTACTGTTGGAGAACATATGTCTACAAATGAGCTTATGTCTCAGAAACTACCGCATAATTAGAGTCATTACACTCACTTATCCTTACAAAAGATATGTCATCCTACTCGTACATGGACCATTGGTCGTGGCAATTTGGCCTTTACAAAAAAATTTGCGAGTTCAAGTACATAATAACCGAGCAAGGGATAGGATAACGGTAACCCCATATCCTGCAACAAAAGGCAGCCAACACAATTTTCCCTATGGCTGTGAGTCATTGTGTAGAAACAGACGGTCAGTCACATTACCTCGAGGTAGTGGATTAGACATTTGGTTGTATGTGTCAGGGACCTCATCGAAAATCTCGACTGCAAGCTTCATCCTCATAAAAGGCATGCTCTTATCGGTAATCCCTTCAAAAGAGTAACCTAAAGCAAGACACTCTAAGAACTTACATGTATACACGCCGCAATCACCACTCTGTATATTTTGTGGCACATTGGATCTCCTCCTGTAAATTGTATACTGCTCTAGAACGATGTCCTTTTTGGATGCAGGAGGTGCTATAGATCTAAGCATATACGGAAGCATCCTGGCATACGGTTTGACCTCCTCAATTATCTCCTTGTCACTATAAGCACTTATGATGCAATCATAGACGTCAATATGTTGCCTGACCAGGTTAACATGAAGAGCTATCCAATGCTGGCCGTTGATGTTGTGCGCAAAATACAGATGATCAACGTCAACCACCCATTTCTTGTTTGTAATTGCATAATATGGATACGCGCCGTTCATCACCTCTATGTAAGACTCTCGGAACATGAAGTTCTTTGGATTGATTGCAAATTGTTTGTAGTCATGATACCATGAACAAACCCAGCATTGGTTGAGGAAAGCAATCCTGGTGCTATAGAAAGGAGTTGGGTCTCAGAGAGATCTTTTCCTCAGCAAATGTGCGAAAGAGGACATATGCTGAAAATTACATCGTCCAACAGTCAATGACAAAGGAAATCATGATCGATGAATCTACCTTATACGCCTAAACCTGAAGCCTAAGAAAACCATTAAGTCTGCAAGGGTTTAAAGCTTATGCATTCTCCAAGCCATCCGTATTTCAAGTCGTTCTTTGGCCACCTCTCTTTTGGAGTCATCAAAGTTTTGTAGAAGTTGCACGATCCTACAAAAGATCCAATTGGATTCTCCCTGTAAAAACACCAGAAATAGGTGTTACTTCCATTTAATATACGGAACTCAGGCCTATATGTAAGCGAATCAACAGACTTACTCTTCTTCATTAATCCTCTCAATCAACTGTGCCATTTTAAACGGCTTTATTTCATGGAACGGATCATAAGCTCTGAGAGATCGAATTACACCATCCTTTAAGCGACTGACTGCAGACTTTCCAAGGAAAGAGGATAACTGCGAAGGGGCCTTTTGTTTTTTTCGCTTCGGTGCAGGTGCCCTGGGTGGTGTCTTTACACCCAGGGCACCTGCAAGTGCATTCAAAGCCATGTCCACTTTGTTGCAATTAGCACGTTCTACGGGGTTAGAAAACGTTGAACCTGAATCAGTTGGTTTCGTCATGGTTGCATCGGCTTTGGCCACTTCGTCGGTTATGTTGATCAAGTCATCCGTCAGTTTATATGGAGGAAAAACTGCTTCTTTCACAAACGCAGGTGTACTTCTCGCAACACACTGCATCGTCATACCATCTGATGTCTGCTTCTGCATAACCATCCACGACTGATTCGAGGACAAGAAAAATCAAAGAATAAGTCGTTAGTAATTAGTACATAAGTCAGTCACAATTACAATGATACTAGGTCTACACCAATATTGGAAAATAAGTCTATGTCTGAAAATAGTGCGTATAAAATAAGTCTACGTCTCAAAATAGTGATAATAAGTCTACCTTAATGTATTATTGAACAGTAATTTCTAAGTCAATAACGTCAAACACTAAACTATATTAAGTCTGCGTGTTGTTACAAATTCCCATACTAAATCGGCATGGAAAATTGAAATTCTTGCAATGCAAAATAGAGTGAACAGCGATTTCAATTACTGCACGAAAGAAAATCAGGTTGACAACATTGCAAACCAAATTCAACTTAACCACATTGAAAAACAAAACCAAGTCAACCACATTTTAAAACACAACCAAGTTCACCACATTGCCAAACAAAACAGAAAATACACTACAAAGGATTTGTACACATGAAAAACGACAAATTCAAAAAGTCTGGTGTCAAGCATAAGCCTGGAGTCAACCATATTACTCTCCATTTATTTTCTGCAAGAAAAAACACATATCAATCCGTGAATGGTAAGGAAACCAGTTATTTTGGCTGTATCCTAATCTATTCACCCAAAAAATATAAAAAATATACCCACATACATAACTTACTGAAATACTTACCGTCATTTTTGAGACTTCCGCTAGAGTGCACTGCTTCTTCATTGGCCGCATTTTTCTCCAACTCTTTTACCGCCTTCAGTTCATTTTCAAGTTGACGCAATTTACCTTGCACCATACCCTCCATTGAAGCCATTTTCGAAGCCCCATTACCCTATATTGAAGCCATTTTCGCAGATACATTACCCTTCATTGAAGACATTTTTTGCTCTACTTCTCCCTTCAAAACGTCAATAGATGTGCTCAGTTGAGAGGCCACAGTGTCTACCTTGTTTGTAAGTACTCCGAGAAGTTTCATTATCCCCTCAGCCATACCATCATTTTCAATAGATCACTTTGTCGGCTTTTCCGCCGAACTTACTCTTGGAACCTACGTATTAAAAAACTCTTTGTTACTAACCATTCCAATATGAAAAAACTCAAAAAAACCACTTACAAACAACTGACCTTTCTGACTGTTCTGCTTCCTTGACACTTGTTTCTCCTTTCCGTTATGTTCCTCAGAACTTTCTTTGACGTACGAGATATGCATGCTTCAACAAAGTCATCGTCGCTTTCGTCGACTGGTTCTTTCCCTTTACTCTTATTTTCAGCATCTAGTGACCAAACATTCATGGGGAGCCGATCATGGAGTATATCTTCCAAGAGTTTATCCACTCCAACATCCTCAGTATCATCAGTCCACCGTGGTTTGGGGTCCTCACCATTATTAACTATAATATGTCTAACCCGTACCTAGCACATACAATGCTTAATAAGGAAACTTGGCCAAAAACGTTCATATTACACAAATGCACAATAGAACATAAGTACATACCTTCTCCTGGTTGTTCTTTTCTTCGAGAACAAGATCATCAAAGTTGAAACGCTTATGCGACCCAGCCCATGACAGAAGGGGTACTTCCATACCGTCAATCTTGTTCCCGAACCTTTCACCCACAATGGTAATCGCCTCATAAACCCATATTTGGAGAATGGGGAAAAAACCACCAATGGTATAAGATTTGCTGTTCAAATCCGCCAATTTCACAAACTCAATCAAACTCTCACAAGCGACTCTGCCCCATGGGAATTGTTCAAATGCCTCAACATCAAGTACGGTTTTCGCAAACTTAAGAGGAATTTTTGTAGACTGATGCAGCCCAAGGACGCCAACAGCAATTACACATAAGCATCCAACCATTCTCCGCTTGTCATACGACCAGGTTCTACATCTCCGTAAGACCTCTTTCAGGTCATCCCAGCTAGGTCCATCGGTCAGAGAAATCTTCATGTCCCCCCATAGTTCCTTATGATCACTGTCCCATGTTCCAGTTTCCTCATACGGCTGTGAATTCATCCCCGATATTGCAGCAAATTCAGACAATGAAAAACGAATTGGTTGATCATCAACCAAACACCATATCTCGTGATTCTTTTATGTGGCCAACTGTCGTGTGATAACATTGTGAACAGTCTTCGCCGACCAGATGAAATCGCTTTCAACAAGGTTACAAATACCACCCACAGGAGAATTTAAAAGATAGGTCCACACTTCGTCGCCTAAACTTTCCTTTATACTTCCAATGTTCCCCAAAACACAGTAATGATGCATGCTCTTCTTCTGAGGTGGGATCTTACCATCGCCATAGTACCTGCCTGGATAAGATGCCATTCTGCACGCCATGGAAAAACATTTCAGCAATTTTGTCAAACGATCAACCTGATATAGTTAACAAGTTTGCCTCCAAGTACAACAAGTCTACGACCATTATCAAACAATTCTTGGGGGTACACTTATATATCTCCACATCCCAAAACCCGAACCCCATCAAGTCTACAACAACGTCAAACAAATCTAACCCGTAATCCTACACAAAGTAAACAAATCTACCATTTCATCAGGGTTCAGTAAAAACCAAAACTCAATCGACATGAAAAATCTTCTCACCGTAAAGAACTTACGAGCACACAACTTCAAACAATGCGAGCCCAGAAATACAAACCCACTTAAACATTATTCAAATCTACATCCACAAGATTACCTAAACTCATAGATCTACAGCCACACCGCGACAAAATTATGTAAATCTACAGAAATAACGCGGTAAATTCAAATATATGAGATAATTTTCCAGAATTTCAATCCTTTACCATCTCTCACACACAACATCTCCTTTGTTTTAAAACAAATCTCGTTCACGAAAAAAGAGAAATTAGGGTTTTTAATTCAATCTCTACAAACCGTATCTAAAACCAGAGCAAGAGTAAACGACGAACTGACAAGAAGACTAAATGAATGGAAGAGTCATGACAAACCTTTCGTTTACCAAGAGAAGAAGAAAACACGAAACCGGCGGAACGGCAGAAACAGTGAAGAAACGAATGCGATAAAGTTTGCAGAAACAGGAAACCACCGACGCACAAATTGCCGCTAACGCCAATGCTGATTTCGGTTCGACAAGAGAAAACTCAGAAACCCTAGAAAATGGACGACGAGAGAGGGCGCCGAAAGAAGGTGGTGGAAAGACAAAGTAAAATTATTAAAAAAAACAGTAATTGTAAAAAAGGTCCATTGTAAAACTTAGGTCTCAAACTTTTTTTTTTTAGTCTGGGTAATTATTAAAATGACATACATTGTAATTATATTTATGAAATAAGGGATAAAAGTAATATCCTATGTCTTTTACTTCTGCACGGTTTAATGAAGTTAGTCTAGTAATAAAATGATAGTTTTGGTGTATTCTAAGTAATTTCTCTATATTTTTATTGTTTAAAGACGTTTTAGGATTTCAATCAATGAATACATCGTCCATGTGAAGCTTGTTTTCTTCTTTTTCTTTGCTTCTCTCTAGATTCGCTTTTTATTTTTATTTTTTTTTGTCTTGTAATCCAAGCAAGTTCATATTATCAAATTAGAAAATTAAAGTTTAAGATTTGAGATGATGGGTAGGTATTTAAGTAGACACGTGAACATGTTTTTATGGGGGTTTACTAGTTTTATTTGTACCTCTTTTTTTAAAGTGTTAAATTAAGAATGACAAATTAAAAATTGACTAATCCACTTTCTCATTTGAGGTGTCAAGTTTTGATGGGCGTCCAATTCAAGGTCTCAAGTCTTTCTAAAGAACATGATGCAATAACAGTAACACTACAAGAAAACAATCGTTTTCCAATGATTCATTACGACGGTTTAAAAATCGTCGCAAACTTACAACGATTGTACGACGATTTTATGTCAAACCAAAAAAACGTCGTAAAACCGTCGTACAAAAAAATTGTCGTAACTGCGACGTACAATTTATGACGAATTACGACGATTATACATCGATAACGAGAGATTTGATATTAATTGCAAAATTTTCGTAAATTAGATGTAACATTACGACGAATATACGACGACCTGTATTCGATGTACACTTACGACGATTTTATGTCGATAAAGAAGTTAGGTGAAGAACATTTAAAACATGTTTACCTAACTAATGTCGATGAAATATTTTATCGCATAATCGACGTAAAATCGTCGTAATATTATTGTTGAATGTAAAAGCGATGTAAAAAATCGTCGTAAAAGCGTCGTAAAGCCTGAAATTTTGTTATAAATAGATCTTCATTCCTTCTTTCATTCACAACACATCATCATTCAAACATAAGAGCATCATCATCCTGGAGACCCATTGTAGGTCTCTTAAACCTTAGTATAGTGTTGTAAATCCTGATATATTGGGTTGTCCATTGCTGGAAACCCGAATTAGTAGTTATTTCTTTGAAAAAAAGAAGTAATAATATTAAAAGGTTTACTCCATTCACGTGGCTAGACGTGACACAAGAGACCGACTCTTTTATTGTCTAATCAATAAAAAGAGATAGTATTTTGAGTTTATTTCAAGATGTCTATATACGAGCTAAGAAGCTGGATGTATATGCGTAAAGATTCAGATGGGGCGTTGACAGAAGAGTTCAAGAACGGGTTAGAAATATTTATATATCAGGCTACAAATATGGAGAGAACGAAAGATAGCGGGAAGATGTTTTGTCCTTGTTTGAAATGCAATAATACAAGGTATACACTAACCAAAACCGTGTGGATGCATTTATTAAATATAGGGTTTATGCCGCAATATTTTTTTGGGTATCTACATGGAGAATGATATGGCAGTAATACTCATGGGAATGCTGGTAGTATTAGTAATTATCAAAGTCATGTTGATTTTGATGAATCGAATTATGGTCTTCAGCCTAATCAGTATCAATCTGATCAAAGTCTAGATCATGATAGGATGCATGAGATGGTGACTGATGCATTTCATGAAATGCATACTGGTAATGCTGTTGAGGAACCTAATGTAGATGCCAAACGATTTTATGATTTGTTAGACAATGCTAATCAGCCAATCTACGAAGGATGTAGAGAAGGCATGTCTAAATTATCGTTGCGAGCTAGGATGATGTCAATTAAAACAGATCATAACCTGGCTGAGGTTTGCATGGATGATTGGGCTGATCTTCTGAAAGAGTATCTACCGGAGGATAACTTGGCAGCGGCAACATACTATGAAATACAGAAGTTGATTTTTAGTCTTGGTCTACCTTCTGAGATGATAGATGTATGTGTTGACAATTGTATGATTTTTTGCAATTGTATGATTTTTTGGAAAGATGATGATCAGCTGGAGGAATGTCGATTTTGCCAAAAACCAAGATACATGCCGCAAACTGGTGGGCGTAAAAGGATACATGTGGTATCTCCCTATAACTAATAAGTTAAAACGGCTTTATCAATCTGAAAGGACAGCTGCATCAATGAGATGGCATACCGAACATACACAAGTAGATGGAGAAGTTGTTCATCCATCAGATGCAAAGGCATGGAAACACTTCAATATGGTATACCTAGATTTTGCTAAGTTCAAACGGAATGTCTATCTTGGTCTGTGCACTGATGGTTTTAGTCCATTTGGTATGTCTGGTAGACAATATTCATTATGGCCAGTAATCCTAACTCCTTATAACCTTCCTCCAGATTTGTGCATGCAAAGGAAATTTCTTTTCCTAAGTATTTTGGTTCCAGGTCCCAATCATCCGAAGCGAGTTCTCGATGTATTTCTGCAGCCACTCATACATGAGTTGAATCAGTTATGGTATACCGGCGTTCGCACATATGACTGTTCTACGGGCAAAAATTTTACTATGCAGGCTGTGCTTATGTGGACAATAAGCGATTTCTCCGCTTATGGTATGCTATCAGGATGGACTACACATGGGAGGTTATCTTGTCCTTATTGTCTTCATCGAACTGATGCGTTTCAGCTAAAATATGGTAGAAAAACTTGTTGGTTTGATTGTCACCGGAGGTTTTTACCGGATAACCATCCATATCGGAGGATCAAGAGGTTATTTATGAAGAACAAAAGTGTACATGTCCCTCCACCCGTAAATTTAACAGGAGCTGATATACATGCGCAAATCGAGCATTGAGGGGCAGAGGAAACAATAACGCGTGGGGGGAACTGGCACACTCCTGCAAATATGTCTGAAGGTTATAGAGTTCATCATAATTGGCACAAGAAAAGTATCTTTTGGCAACTACCCTATAGGAAAGATCATCTGCTCAGACACAATCTTAATGTCATGCACATTGAAAAAAACTTTTTTGATAACATCATGCATACAGTTATGAACGTAGCGGGAAGAACAAAAGACAATGGTAAGTCAAGATTGGACTTGCCTGATTTATGCAACAGAAGTGAGTTGCATATACTGAGAAACGGGAAAGCACCAGTTCCTGTATTTCAGTTGAGTGCAGATCAAAAGTCAGCATTGTTGAGATGGGTTTCTTCTGACGTTAAATTTCCTGATGGGTATGTTTCTAATCTTTCTAAATCTGTTGAGAAGGGGGTAAAGTTTGCAGGGATGAAAAGCCATGACTGCCACGTGTTTATGCAATGATTATTTCCATTTTCATTTGCTGAACTCTTGCCCAAAAATGTCCATGAAGCTGTTGGAGGCATTGATGCTTTTTTTCGGGATCTTAGTACATGAACATTATCAGTTGATGTAATATCACAATTGGCATCGAATATTCCAATCTTGTTGTGCAATTTAGAAAAGATCTTCCCACCATCATTTTTTGATGTTATGGAACATCTTCCTGTTCATCTCCCTCACGAAGCAGAGCTCGGGGACCAGTTCAGTACAGGTGGATGTGGGAGGTCGACGGCGACAAGGCCAAGCCGGCGCCAATGGCTGATACCGTCTGGCAGGGTCTGGTGCAGTATTGGTTGACTCCGCACAACCAGACTATTGCCGTCAAGTGTTCCACATCCAGGTATTTTAATTTGTGTTTAGATTAAATTAAAATATGTGTTTTAATTTAATACAATTCTAATTAATATATTTTTCAGGAACGCTACTGACGATGCGGGAAATCGGAAGAATGTCCCGCACACTTCCGGTCAGATTCTTTTTGTCGGGACACGACTTATAATGGTAAATTTAAATTATTAAGTTTTTGTTTTTAAATAATTAACTCTTATTTGTCTTATTAATAATTTTATTTTTATTTTTATTTTGTAGGTCGAAGAAAAGGGGGGAGAACTTCCTCTGATGACGAAGGTCTTCGCCGAGACCCATAAGAGGAACGGCGAATTCACGGATCCTCAGGCGGAGGAGATCTACAACGCCGCCTGTGCACGGATCGAGGAGCAGTGGACGCAGGTCACTCAGCAGGCGCCTCCGACATCTCCCGAAGGTAGCTCGGTCCAATCCACCCCGACGCTGACGGTGGCGGAGATGGACCAGATTTTCGAAGAGGTAAGATCTTTTTCTTATTTAGTGTAATTTTAACTTTATATTGTACTTTTTAACATAATTTTTTTACATATTTTCAGGTTGCCCCTAAGAAAAAGGGCCGGGTTTTAGGGATGAGATCCATCCGTGATACTCCAGTCGCTACGGCAACTGGTCATGTCCGGGCAGCGAATCCGCTTATCCGCCAGGAGATCCATCAGATGCGGACCCAGTACGAGACGAAGATCGACCAGTTGTACGGTCTCTTCGAGATTATGGGGGCCGACAACCCGGTGCTCATGGTGCAGTTGGACAGGCTGCGGGCAGCTGGAGTTGTTGGATCATCTGCTTCATCTTCTAGGAGGAAACCATCGGTGCAGACGGACGAGGAGATTTTCCGGTCTCTCGGGGTTGATCCTCCTAGAGTCGGGGATCAGGCGCCGGAAGCCTCCAACCGAAGATCTGGGGATCATGCGGCGGAAACCTCCAACCGAAGACCCGGCAAAGAACATGTGGAGCAGGACGAAGGGGAGCAGGACGATGACGGGATCAACATTAGTTCAGATTTAGATCTTTAGGGTTTTTTTGTAATTATTAAAATTAATTTTTTTTTTGAATTTTAATCAAAATTTAAATTGTAATTATTTATTTTTTTAATTTAAATTTTAATTCGAATTTTTTTTTAATTTCATTTATAAAAAAACGTCGTATAATCGTCGTAATATCATTATTATTAATTTATTAAACTGTCGTATATTCGTTGTAACTCGTACGACGAAGTTACGACCACTTATTCGTCGTATATTATACGACGACTGATACGACGAATATACGTCCGTGTTTTACGACGGTTTTACGACTAAATGGTAAAATCTTTTACGATTGAATTACGACGAAACTTGTGTCGTATATTATACGACGATCCTACGTCAATTTTTAACAACGACTTTATGACGGTTTCGCTGTATCGAGGCAATCCGATGTAAAGTCTTCGTAAGCTGTACGACGCATTTTCGACGATCTTTTTATGTCGATGTTACGACGAATATAAACCGTCGTAGATTATACGACGGCTTTACGACGATTTATCTATTACGACGATGAGTTTACGACGATTTGGAAATCGTCGGTAGTTCGTCGTAATAGCCTTATTACGACGAATTAGCGATGATTTTGGCCGTTGTAAAACGGTGTTTTTCTTGTAGTGTAATTACACTATGATAGCTTGATGGCAAAATCTCAATTTTGTAAACGGGTTTTAATGTTAGATCGACTTCTGTTTGTATTGAAGATTATCTTTCAAAGGTCAAATCTTTCTAACGAAAACGTGCTAAGGTTCAGAGACTCAAAAGCATTACCTTTATGAGTATAACAAACCAATATATGAAGTTGTTAATGTCACAAAACAGACAATAGCGCAAACAAGTGCAGAAAACAGAGTATGGAAAGTTTGAGAGAAAGAGAGAAGAAGAAGTTAAGTGAGTTCACGCCCTTTAACTAGAGATACATCTTCCCGAGACTATTTCTCAAAATCCACTAAAAGGAAAATATATTTACAAGAAATACATCTTATGAATTTAGTCTCATGACTCATGAGTAGTTACATTACAAATACATTCGTCTAATTGGTTAAAGTTTCGAAAGAAAAGATATGCTACAAGAACTTTAAGTATTTTCTGGTTGAACCTAGACGTGGAAGCTGTAAGTGTAAAGACTATACAACTACATCAAAGAAGGCTAATGGAAGAAGAATATGTTCTTCAACCAATAGACCAACAATAATTTATTTGTCAACTAGACCAACAATTATTATATAACACACCAAACAAATCACCAACTAATAAATTATTTAGAGAATATCGCACTTTTCTGTTAGAAATTAAATTTATGAATAATTGAATATGGAGCCGACCTTTGCCGGTGCAAAGTTCAAAAGCCACGCAAAGTCAGATGAGAGAACAGAGAAGATCAGATCAGAGCCGTTGATTTTATAAAACGGTGGACATTCATCAACCTTTGTCAGTTTCCCCCAAATGCAATTATAAATTTTTGTTTTTTAAAATCTTTTTAGGGTTTCAATCAGTGAATCAATCAGTGACGTGAATGAATCGTCCATGTGAAGCTTGTTTTCTTCTCTTTTCTTTGCTTCTCTCTAGAATTGCTTCATTTTTTAAAAAATGATCGTGTAATCAAAGCAAGTTCATTCTATGTATGGGTACTTGTGTAGACACTTAACATTGAAACATTTGCCTATTTTTCTAGTTTAATTATAAAACTCTCCTCATGAGTCTTGAACTGTACTTCTTGTCTTAACATGTTTGGGTTTACTTCTTGTTTTAGTATTAATAAAAAAACTATTTTTCTTGTTTTAGAACTAATATTAAAGTTAACAACAAAAGTAGGAAACATATATTATACGCAAACCACATCGAGATTCCTTCCATAAATCGCCGACTCAAAAAAATATCCGAAATCCAACAATTTAATAATCAAAAGTAATAACGAATCAAAACCTCACATCCACACTACGCTCACTCTCTCTCCGACCACTGTTGATAAACTCAATACTTAAATTTTGCAATTCTCCTTCGATACCACATCCATCACCACCTCTCTCACCTCTCTGCCGGCCGCCACCGCCGGTATTCACCGGAATCAATCACAATCAATGGAGCTTAACACCTTCCATCGCTCTTCTTCTTCCCTCTTATTCCTCCTCTCAGGTTCGTATTATCTTAAAGCTTCTCTCTTTATCTTAAAGTTTTTCGCTTTGTCACGGTTTATTAACACGACGTCGTTTAACAACCTCAAAATGTGATTACACAGTGGTGGTTATTTTCCCGGCGACGGTGATTTCAATCGGCGTCAACTACGGTCAAATCGGAGATAACCTCCCGTCACCGGAACAAGTAGTCCCATTAGTGAAATCAATCGGAGCAACAAAAGTAAAGCTCTACGACGCAAACCCACAGATCCTAAAAGCCTTTTCCGGCACCGGCGTAGAGTTCATCGTCGGTCTCGGGAACGAGTACCTCTCCAAAATGCGAGACCCATCAAAAGCCCTAACGTGGATCAAACAAAACGTGACTCCATTTTTACCGGCGACTAACATCACCTGCATCACAATCGGAAACGAAATCCTCGCTCTCAACGACTCTTCCCTCGCCGATAACCTCCTCCCGGCAATGCAAGGAGTCCACTCCGCTTTAATCACCGCCGGTCTCTCCGATCAAATCGCCGTCACCACCGCACACTCTCTCTCCATCCTCCAAACCTCTTTCCCACCTTCCGCCGGCGAATTTCACCCAGATCTCATCGATACGCTCAAACCAATCCTCGAATTTCACCGGAAAACAGACTCTCCGTTCTTAATCAACGCTTACCCTTTCTTCGCCTACAAAGGAAACCCTAAAGAGATCCCTCTCGATTTCGTCCTCTTCCAGCCGAATCAAGGAATCGTAGATCCGGCCACCGGATTCCGCTACGAGAACATGCTGTTCTCGCAGATCGACGCCGTGTACTCTGCTTTAGCGGCGGCGGGGTATAAATCTCTCAAGGTTCAGATATCGGAGACGGGGTGGCCGTCGAAAGGAGACGACGACGAGTTCGGAGCCACGCCGGAGAACGCGAAGAGGTATAACGGAAACCTGATTAAGATGATGATGGGTAAAAAGACGAAAACACCCTTGCGACCGAACAACGATCTTATCGTCTATGTTTTTGCTCTCTTCAACGAGAACATGAAGCCTGGCCCGACGTCGGAGAGGAATTACGGGCTGTTTAAACCTGACGGGACTCAGGCTTACTCGCTTGGGTTTACTCTAAACGACGTCGTTAAAGGGTCTAGCGGCGGAGACGACGGTGGTAATAGTAGTAGTGGAGGAGGAGGAGGAGGAGGAGGAGGAGGAGGAGGAGGAGGAGGAGGAGGTGGGAAAATGCCGGTTTCGCCGGTTATGCCTGTGGCGCCGGATAGTGCGTCGACCGGTTATTTGGCAATTTCGTCGGCTCCGGTAAGATTCTTCGCATTTTTTCTTTTTCGGTTAAAGTTGGGATTTTTTTTTTTTTTTTTTTTTTTAGGTAAAGCGAAAGATTCGATTTTTTTCAACATTAAGTTACAACTTTATTCTAAAAATATTCCAGTTCAAGGTTTCATCAAAAATAAATGAAAGATGGTTAGACCAATTTTAGGAACGAAATTTAAAGCAAAACTTTTGCAATTTGAAGTCATATTTGATACTTTTTTTTTTCATGTCATGTTCCTTAAAAGTGAAAAGTGTGATGATAGTAAACTATTAATGATATCAAATTTTAGTCATATACTTTCTCTTCTAATTTGTTTTTGATTAATCTATTTATGCCAAATTTACCTTTGAGTGTTTGTTAAGTGATAATACTTTATGATTTTTTGCAGGGGAAAAGAAAAGGGACTGTAGCAATATTGTTAATGATGGTGAGCATGTTACTTGGCGAGAGACGCTTCCTTTGATTACACGAAACAGAGTTAACTGTTTTGCATTCTTCCGAATTCCAGATTACCATTGGAGAGCTTATCACGGGCATTTTTTTTTGGTTTATAGTATTTATGTTAGAAATTCATTTTGCACCTTATGTAGTATGAGGATCACACTCAATTCACTTTTATATTCCATTCAATAATACTCTTCTTATATTCGTGAGGATCACATTCAGTTTAATTTGTTTTCTTCTATGTTGTCCATTACTTATCATATTAAAAAAAATTAAAATTAAAATTATCAATCGCCTATAATACACTTAGATATTTATATATGTTTTAGTATTAAGTTTGAGGTATCTAAATTGTAATTAAAATGATCACAACAAGTGTTGGTTACTCCACAAGATTTTGACATGTGTTTTTATCTTCTTAGTTAAGATCAAGAAAACTATACTATTTGAAACTATACCATCTCTACATTGGAAAAAAAAAGAAAATTAAATCCCAAAAAGAGGTACAATAATATAATAAAAATTGGTTCTTTCTCGCAATTGCGTTTAAATAAATTATTCAATCGATAAAAATGTTTTTTCAGTTACACAAAAATATAATATATTAACTAGAAACTATATCACTGGCATTTATTATCTCTAATTAATAATAGCATGAGAGGAAAAAAAAGTAAACAATTTTCAATTTAGTTAACAAATAAAATCTTTATTTGAAAACCAAGCTTTTTTCAATTAGAAAATCATAAATATTCTTCTAAAAAAAGATATCAATCAAGAAGATGACCATAATTTTCCAAAAATCAACGTTTTTATATTTTTGAATTAGAATACAAAAAGAATACTTTTTTTTTAATAAATTTTAATTTTGCTAATATTTCAAGAAGATTAAAAAAGAACGTCAAAATGAATAAAGATATATAAGTAGCTAAATGATAAAAAGTAAATCTAATTCAAACAGAAATATGAATTTGGAAACACGTCTGCATCCTTAATTTAGATCCTAAAACTGGTGAGTTTTTAATTTTAATTTTTGTAATGTTTTTTTTTTGGTGAATGAGAGGAGACAATTGTCTCCCACTTTTATTTAACTAAAGAGAATTACATCCGAACTCAACGCGAGCGCTCAGCCCCTACAACATCCTCAAACAAAATCAACTCCAAATCAGACGGATAAGAAACAAAACTACGAAAACCCACAGGGTAAGAAAAAGCAAGGTTAGCTAGCCCATCTGCAACACGGTTCGCCTCTCTATAGACATGTGAAAACCGGACTATCCAATCCCTAGAAATAAAGCCATAGCACAAACGTATTAGGAAGGACAGGGGGTGTGTATCACCTATACCTGTCTGAAAGAAACCCACCACAATCTCCGAGTCTACCTCGATTTCCAGTTTTGAAACCCGATGTTCCCAAGCCATGAATAAACCGTAGTAAATTCCCCAAAGCTCAGCTAAAGGTGCTGAACAGAAGCCAATATTACACGCGTATCCACTCTTCCAATTGCCCTCAGAATCCCTTAACACGCCACCTGCAGTTGCGAGACCTGGATTTCCTCGCGAAGCCCCATCGGTATTCAACTTCATCCATCCATTAGAAGGCGGTTTCCATGCTATAAATCTCTCAATTCTCTGTACTTGAACCCGTCCTTCTCCTTGGTTCTCATACGCTAATTGAACCTCACGAGCCACATCCTTAACAAACTTTACCCGATCTCTGCATTTTCTATTCTCTCCAAAAATATCTCCACATCGCCATTTCCACCCCCACCATACTGCCATAGCGAAAAGAGTAGCCCATTCAATATTCTCCACTTCACTCTTCATTCCCAAATTTTCATACACCCATTCCAAAACCGACTTAGAAAAAAACGCTGCTCGTCTCCGATTCGGAACCAATTTGCGCCATATCCCCAACATCGCTGGGCAATCCCGGAGTACATGCATAATTGTCTCCTCCCCTCCTTCGCAAATAGTGCACACCCCCGACTCGCTTAGATTTCTCCTTAATCTCTCCATGTTTGTCATAATGAGCTGATTTCCCACCGACCATAGAAACACCCGTACTCGTTCAGGAGCTCTAACTTTCCATACACGCTCAAAGAATCTTCCCCAACTCTGTCTCGGCCTGGTGTCCTTAGTCAAGAAGTTATAAGCTGCCTTAACCGAGAAGCTCCCATCAGAATTTCCCTTCCAAGAAATCCTGTCTTTTGCACCCGTAATGTTATCGAGTACAATGGTTGATAAATGCAGCCTGATAACATCCGGGACAAAAGGCATTATCCGAGCCAAATCCCATCCTCCTCCATTATTCCATAACTCATGAGCCTGCATCTCTGCATACCCGATCGGTAAGACCCCCGTAATCATCTCCACCAAAGGTTTATCCAACAACCATGTATCGTTCCAAAAACGTATACTTCTGCCGTTTCCCATTATATACCCAGCACAGCCCTGGAATTACTATTTCTCTAAGGCCAACACCTATGCTTCGGTAAGTAGAAGACTAATGGCTCTTCGCAACAATCCAAGACGAATCGTGTACCTCTCCAACCTTATATTTACTCCTCAAAACCTGAGCCCAAAGGCTGTCCTTATCCTGAATCAATCTCCACCCGACTTTAGATAATAACGCCTTATTTATTTCTGATGCCAATCGGATTCCAAGACCACCTTCATTGAAATGTTTAACTCGCGCGTACGTTTTAGTTATATCAGATGCTTGTTGTCAAAAAAACATAAAAATAAATAAAGAATCAGAGATATTTCGATAGGAGGAAAAAAGGAAAGTCAGTGAATCTGAATTATATCCTTATGGATAATATAATCTGAATCAGTCAAAACCATTATATTCTCGTTAGTCGAATATACATTTGGTCATATTTTTGACCAATGGATTAAGCTTTGCTCAATTTATCTCTTAGAAGAATGGAAAAATAAAAAACGTGTGGCTTATCCACTTATCATTACGTAGAAATTTCTCCTCTCCCTCAAACGCTATATATATATACGTGAGAGAGAACTCACTATGCTGACAAACAAACAAACAAAGAAACACGTGAAAATAAAAGACATATCATTAAGCTCTATCGAACAAGGTTTTCTTCTTCTTGATCATATGTCGGCGTCACAAAACATGACTTATCCGGTCGGTACTCGGTTTCTTCCAAATGGTTTGGGGTTGGTGAGGCGTTATCTGCGCAACAAGGTCCAAAGAAACGAGAGCGAATTCATAAAAACTCTCAACATCTACGAAAACGACCCGTGGCGTCTTGATCACGACACGAACCCCCTGTACCCCGAAAACAAATGGTACTATTTTGTCCATAGGACAACCGCGTCGCGGACCGTACCGGGAAACAGAGAAAGCGAAGGCGGCACATGGAAAAACAACGGTAAGAAAGAGATCGAGGACGAAAATAAGGTGGTGATTGGTTACAAGCGGAGTTTCGTGTATTTGAAGAAAGTGAATGGAAATCTTGTGAAGACCGATTGGCACATGAAGGAGTATTCTCTTTTTGAGAACAAGACCAATTCCCAAGAATGGGTCTTGTGTTTGATCAAAGACCGAGAGGAGAACAAGGATATCGTCTTACCCAACAACGAGCGACAAGAAGAAGAAGAAAAAGAACAAGAAGAAGAACAAGAACAAGAAGCTGATTTTGCTAATGAGATCAATCAACATAAACAACAAGAAGATCAAGAGCAAGGGCAAGATGCACAGATTATTCTTCCTTCTCCTCCTTTGCAGAGCAACGACACCAACAACGTCTTGATGATGTCGAACCAAGAACCTTATGGTTTTGATGGCGTTGAGGACGTGATGATTAATATCGATGAAGAACAAGAACAAAAAAAAGAAGAAGAACAAGAAGCTGATTTTGCTAATGAGATCAATCAACATAAACAACAACAAGATCAAGAGCAAGATGCACTGAATCTTCTTCCTTCTCCTCCTTTGCAGAGCGACGACACCAACAACGTCTTGATGATGTCAAACCAAGAACCTTATGGTTTCGGTGGCTCTGAGGACGAGATTGGTACCGATGAACTCATGGAATCACTGGATAATGACCCTGTTGATCTCGGCATGGTTGATATGGATGATCTCATACAAAATTTGAAGGCATTGGCGTCACTCAACAACAATAACAACGAGTCCTGAACTCGTTAAAAGCTTTCTTCTATCTAGTAGGTTTTTTTTCTTTTTCTAAACGATCTATTAGGTTTTTTTTTGAATCTAATATATATCTATTAGGTTAATGCAATTAATTAAGCTTCTTTAGTTGTTTCTTTTGGCTAATAACAAACGAGTGGTTGATCAAAGTGAGAAACTGCTTTGTGTGTGTGAGAGGGCAGAGCAGAGAAAGAGCGTATTAATTAGAGCATAACCAATTGTTTTTTTTATTTTTTTTATTTTTTGGTTTTCCTAATCATATTAACATTCTGAACTCTGTGAGTTCTATATAATTTAACAATTTTCGAATGAATGACTACAGTTTTCAAGTCGTTTTGAAATTAATTATCTTCTTTAATTGGAAAAACAACAATAATCAATAATACTCCCTCTGTTCAGAATTATTTGATGTTTAAGGTTTTTGCACACAGTTTAAGGATTCATTTAATTTTTATTTTTCCTATACTAAAAATATTATTTATAATTCATTTAAATATCATTCAGCCAATAAGAAGACTATCTGCAGAATATAAAAAGTCAAAAACTATAAAAATTCATTAAATTTTGCATTGAAAAGTGAGAATATCAAATAATTTTGAACAAAAAAAACCTTCTAAAACATCAAATAATTCTGAACAGAGTGAGTATTCTATTTGTTCAGAATTATTTGATATTTAAGATTTTTACACATAGATTAAGAATTCATTTAATTTTTATTTTTTCTACACTAAAAATATTATTTGTAATTTGTTTAAATATAATTCAGCCGACAATTTTCAGAATATAAAAGGTTAAAAACAATAAAAATTCATTAAATTTTATATTGAAAAGTGAGAACATCAAATAATTCTGAACAAAAAAATCTTCTAAAACATCAAATAATTCTGAACAGAGAGAATATATAATAATAATAAGAGCTTCTTTGCATTTAGGGTAGTTTTAAGATTTTTATTTGCTAAATGGGTGTGTATTTGGTCGCATGTGGATTTCTGGTAGTTTTGGTACAATACATTTTTCATAATGGCAGGTCTGCCCTTATTAGAAGAAAAGGATGAAAGAGAAAACAGCTGAGCCGAGGTAGTTTTGTCAAACGCGTGACACACACGGACGCTGACGTCAAATCTCCCGACACACGGACACACGGACGCTGACGTCATAAGTTACTGAAAACAGTTGTAATGCGATGCCGTTTTAAAATAAAACAGATATCTTGTTGGGCTAAATGGGCTTTGAGTAGTTTTTGAAGGGTAATGTGTTGGGTTTCAAATTTGGGGACAATTTTGTTTTGGGGAAATTGAATGAGGCAGTTTTGGCGGGAGATTTAACATAAGTTACTGAAAATATCTTTATTACTGTAGTAAAACCCTGATTTGCTGTCTGATTGGACAAATAATACGTATATTTCCCGGGTTAAGTGTACAACACACCCTTGAGGGTACCAAAAAAAAAGAGAGAAATCGAAGAAATGGAGAAAGATGGAAGATTTCTTGTTCCCAGAGACAGAGGGAAAGGAATTTTACTCAGCCCTGTAGAAGGTAATTTCAGAACAAATTTACAATTTGTTTGATAAATCGTACACTTTTTAAAAAAAACATTGTTTAGAACCTAATGTTAAAACGGTGGTTTATACAGAAATGGGGAATACCTTCGTTGTTGTAATGGCCGGTCAGTGGATACGATACATAACGGGGGTGTGGGATTTCAAGATAGATAAATCTTGACTGGGGAGGTGCATCAATTTGCGAGATATCTGTGGGATTGTTAAGCTAAGAAGAGTCATTAGTGACGAGTACGCAGAAGAAACAACACAGGTTGCTGTTGAAGTCTTTTACTGGTTGGAAGACGCTCTGGCTGAGCTCAATGGAAATGGTTCTGCTCCAATCGAAATCTGCACAGACCTGGGATACAGAGCTTTTAGATCTCTGCGTAAAACAGATAAGTCACTCAACCTATTTGTTACATTCAGCCGCTTTGAGAAGTCAGAACTAAAGGTACTAAGTCCTAAAAAGGGGGTGGTTCCAAGAAAACAGCCAAGTTATGAATGGGTGAGGAATCCGAATATTCGGGAAATGGAGGTTTGTACACCATTTGGAGAAGCGAAAAGTGACATAAATCGAAAACAACCTAAAGCTGGATGCATGAGAACACCCTAGTGCTGGTTTTTGATGTTAAATGGGTGTGGGTTTATTTTGTGAGTCTTATGCTCTTTTATTAATCAGGTTTGTAACAGACTAATTAGCCACGTTTATGAATGAAGGTTGTTTATGAAAACTACCCATAATTAATTGATCTCTAATTAATTTCTGAAATCGAGGTTGGTATGAGTACTCTAGTACTCTAGTATTCAGGTATTCACGTTTTCATGTATTCAGGTACTCTAGTATTCAGCTATTCAGATATTCAGGTATTCGAGTGTCAATACAAAAGAATACCTGGACCTGAATAGCTGGACACTTGAATACCTGAATACCTGAATTTCTCACGACCAGAATACCTGAATACTAGAGTACCTGAATACATGAAAACGTGAATACCTCATGTCTGAATACTGTTTCCGTATACCAAAACTACCCAATGACAACCTTATTTTGTGAGTGTTATGCTCTTTTATTAATCAGGTTTGTAACAGACTAAATAGCCACGTTTAGGAAATTAAGGTTGTTTCTACTAATACATAAGAATACCTGAATACCTGAATAGCTGGACACCCGAATACCTGAATACCTGAATTCCTCAGTACCAGAATACCTGGATACCAGAGTACCTGAACACGTGTGTAGCTGAATAGCTCATTTATCATGAGTATTTGTCCAAGGTTCAATGTACCTGAATACGTGTGTAGCTGAATGAATCAGGATTGGAAGAGATCTTTGTCCTACATTTATCATGAGTTATTGTACATTTTATTGATTGTCAAACATTTAGTTGGTTCTGAGATAAAGAAGTTATCAGGAATAGAAATTATATCAGAATACTGAATGACAATAATTCTAAATTATATCAGAATACCAGCTATAAATCTTGTATATTGAAATGCCTGAAACTCTGAATACAATACCATTACCATTATATCTGGTTAACAGAATACATGAATACTTAATGCATGAATACCTGAAAACCTGAAAAACTTAATACCTAAACACAAAACATAGGAAAAACATAGGAAATGGGAAATTTGAACACCTAACAGAGATCTAACTACATATAGCTAAACTTTCATTGCCCAAAATTACAACTGAAAGGACAACACAGAAAGTGATACAAATAATTTTCACAATAGTTTTCGAGAAGTCTTCTCTTGACCCCAAGACAGCTACGACGTTCTTCAGATCTGAGAACTCCTGAAGTTCGGCGAGTTTCATAACAGATCCAGGCCCACAAGCAGTCGAGAGATTCATATTGGACGATCCCTGAACAACTTCTGCGGGATTTCTCTCAGATCCATACGCACCCGAGTTTTTGATTTTTCTGATCTCCTCTTTCAAACGGCGAATTTCATCCCGAGCTTCGATAAGACTCTGTTTCTGCCATCCGTGGGAAGGTTCCGAGTCGACTCATGAAAAGAAGCGACAGCCGCGAGAAGATCTGCCGGTTCCGAAAGCACATTTTAAGAACTTACGTCATGGGTTATCATCAGACCATGATGTGATAACAATTGCTGGAACCCCGCAGATTATATCTTCATAATGGAGAATCGTTTGTGTGAGCTTGCCACCAGTATATTCGAAGAAATTGGTGTAATCATCTGACGCTGGAATCTTAGACAACAACAGCGGAATTGATTCAAAAGCTAATAGCTGCAGAGGTAGACGAAATCCATAACACGCGGAATTCTGCTGCTTCAACCTAATCCGAAGCTCTTTAATTGGATCTCCTATTGGAACCTCAGCAGTAGAAATAGGAGGACCTAACCTAGCATATGTCTGGAGAAATGATTCCCTGCCCCACGGATATGAAAGAAAGAAGTCGATGTCGTTAAGCATTTCGACATATTCATGGGTGATTTTGAGGTGTTTGTCTGGACAGACGACTATGCCATCAACAATCACGATTAAGGCAAGGGGAAGCTTCTTCCAATCAGGCAAATTCGGGTCTTGCAACATCGAAATCACTTGCGGCACATCGATGTTTAGATTGTTAGCTCCGAAAAGTCTATTCCACATAGAAATAGAGTCAAGGTTCATATGCTCTTCTATCTCAGCTTCTGATGGAATTTGACCGCAGGTTAGTCCGGTGATGATATGAAACTCCCGAAGAGAAAACCTCAGTGGTTTGCCACCAAATACAAACCACATCTCGTGTTTCTTCTTTGTGACAAGCATGCGACACAGTAAAGCATGGATCAATTTGGCGGAATTAGCGCATCTAGCAACAGCGAACTCGAACAACCTGCCGAACTGCGATTTGACAATAGTGTGCCAGACTTCGGTACCTTCCAAAGCAGAACGAATGGAACAGAGGATATGAGTCTTCGAATAAATGTTTAATCGGGCACCAATCGGATGGCAACCTGGGGCAAACAGTCGAGTTGATAGTTCTTCCGAAATTTGGGATTCTGAATCAGAGCTTGATGAGGTAAACTCTGGAAGTTATGAAAGATATCGATTAGTACAAAATTCAAAACGAGAGCATCAGAACCCTAAAAATTGAAATACAAATTACCTAAGGCCTAATTGAGTGGAATGAACCCCAAAACTAAGAAAAACCCTAATGCAAACTTCTCAAAACAATAAACCCTAAAAAACAAAATCAACCAATTATGAACCTTGATATAATGACTTAGCAGGCAATTCTTAGTGCGGGCAGATCTTCGCAATTCGGTCACGTTTTGTTCTTGCGATTTCATCAATCTCTTTGAGGTCCGCTTCGAATCAGTTGAGTGTTTTTTTACTTCGAAGTCATTTTTTGAAAACACGGATGGATTTGGATTGAATAAGTGAAGAGAAACAAGAAATGAGGATGAACACTGGGTATTTGTTCGATGAACTTCAACACTGGAGACAGTGGCGGTGTCGAAGTAAGAAGGAAAAAAAG